GATATATATATATATATATATATATATATATATATATATATATATATATATATATATATGTTGAAAGTTTAATTATTCATAATTAAAGACCAAAACACAATAAGAATATCCTGAATTAGGTACCTGTGCAGGCATTGGTACTTTTTTATCTTAATCTTACTCTCTAAATATCTTGGAGTTTTGGAAATTTTATTCGTAAAGTAGATCATCTAGTTATTCGAATGATTCTTCATTATAAAGTAAATTCTTCACTTTTAATTGTCAAATTAATAATACTTTCATTCGAAATTAAAAAGTGAATCTGATGTATCCACCGTTACAAGATATTCATTCATATTCATTCTGATTGACATTCACTCTTGTGATTTTAAATGACACTATTTTCACTACCACTTCAAAAATACTGCCACTTTTCATTCGTTTCGAGTAAGATTCCATTTCAAGAAATTTAGATAGTACCAGTGATTGCTAGGTATACTTCAACGTAGAGTTCCTGGGAGCCTTCGTGCTCTCTATTAATTTATCTCGAGGTTCTTTAACCGCACGTTAACGTTAGACGCATCATAAAGTACAGTTAGACCCGTCCTATCACTCGTCAACAGGAAATCGAGATACGTATTCAGACTAATTACGTTATAGAAAACAGCTACGGAGGTTCCCAGGCGCGTAACATTACGACTGAAGACCCGTATCTCCGCGTGGCACAGAAGTGTTAAACAAGTGAATGAACGAACGTCCGCCGAATGGGTGAATGAATGAATGAGCGGTCGGTCTCTCGCCGATGACGGCGACGAAGATGCAAGACGCCTCGCGAAGAGATGACCGAGAGAAAAACGGCAATGAAGAGAGAGAAAGAGAAAGAAGAGGGAGAGGGAGAAGAGGTCACGAAAAGATGAATATTAGAAATAAAGGAAGAAGATATAAAGGAAATATTGAAGAATAATATGAGTAAAAAGCCAATGCAATCCAAAAAATCAGATAATAAAATTTTATCTAAATTACCTTAATTTTAAATTTAGAATTAATTTTAGACAAATAATTTAGCAAATTGTCTCACTTTTAAATTTAGATGAGTAAATATAAAGAATAAGTAAAAAATTAAATAAGAAAAAACTTTTATCTACTTGTCTAAAATCCAATCATGAAAATTTTGTTCAATTCTATCTTCTCAGGGACATTGATACTTTTTATATCAAGCTTTTAATTTTTACGACGATTAACTATCTCTCTGCACTGCCGGCAAGATCGATCGCGTGTTCGATCTCTTCCCAGTTGCTCCAAATAAAATCTGAAAGACGATCAAAGAGCCGGTTGAGCAGCAAGGAACGCGCCAAGGATCGGAGGAGAGTGAGAGGAAGATCGAATGGTGGTGGCCGGAAACGTATCGTGCTGGATGGAGGCGCGGCGAGCACGTACGAGAAACACGCTCGTATGTGCTTCATTCGGCTTTATTAGAAGCCCGGCGCGCGGCGGTCGCTCGTTTACACCGAGTAAACTCGGCGAAACGCAGTTTACGGCCCGTGCTTGTCCTCTAGTACGTCGCACCAGCCGACACCGACTCGCTCGCCATGATCTTGAATGGCTTCAATTAGCTTCGTTTAGGCGAGTAATTGTTTCTTGAGAATTCCCGCAGAAATGCTCATTCAAGCACGTCCGCGTACGTATCGTAATCGAGAGAAAATCCCCGCTATTCCGACGGTGCGCCCTGTAATCGACCTCTTCTATGACTGCCACCCTTATCTTTCCTTTTTGTATTTTTCTCAAAGTCAACCGAGACTCGCGCACACATTTTGATACGATTTTACGTATTAGATACTATTTCTCTGATTTCTTAATAACAATTTGAATTCAGATTTTTAAGCTCCGTTCAAACGTATCGAACATATCGAAACAAGTCGATTAAATATCATATTTAGTGCAATCGGCCTTTTCTATAAGACCGCTACTCTTATCCTTTATTTTTCTACAGAACTCACACGCATTTTGATGTTGAGAGAAAAAATATAAAAAAAAATATTTATTCGTTGAATCTCTAAATTCTTTTATTTAAATAAACAATTTCTTAAAAAAAACTAAAGTTTCAAGAACAAATATATTTTCTTACTTAGAAAACATTTTACATTAGTATAAGTGAAAAAGCGATTAGTGCCCACTGAATAAATATTTTTTATTTCTCAAATATTTTTTCTTTCGGTGTGTGATAAGTGTTAGATGTTAAATGAGCCAATTTTTCAATAATACTTTAAATCTGGATTTTTCGATTTAATTCTAGAGAACCCTAAACATTAAAAAGTTACGTGAACCATAAACATATAAAAGTTTTACACAGCGCATTTTTATTTGATCCATAATTTTCGGAAAAATAATGTAAGTTCTATTTTTTTCAAATCGGTGTAGAAAACATCGAGAAATATGAATCTATTAATGTTTTTGCCATCTAATAAAGTTGAAAGAAGTTATGATGAAAAAACGAAACACATATTTTTAAGAACGATAATGTTTGAAAAGATGGTCTGAATAAATTTTATTTGTGTTCAGGATTCTAGGGTTAAACTCTGTTTAAACGCATGAAACATTAGAACAGAGTATAAACTTAAATCTAAGTCGAAATTGCTATTGGAAAATCGACTTTTGATTATTTATCTCAATGATATCAACCATGTCTCGTCCTGACATCACTTTGTTTCTCTCCCTGACCTATTGTTTTCGCATTTTATTTGCAGAATTGCAGAATTGGCCTCGCTATTTGATGAAGCACGACGGACACATATGGGCTATTAGTACGCGAATCAAGCCCCGATCGACAACTGCTTCTGATCTCCAAGGTGATAGAAGTCTTTGTCGGTGCTCGCGGGGCTCGATTCGAATCAAACTTTGGCGGGTCCACCGCCTTGGAAACCTTACGAAGATGCCGACAAACGGGTAAGGTTAATTGGTTGGCGCAATAGATCAACATAGAGACCTTTTGTCCAACGAAGGGCTTCCGTCCTCCCCTCCCACGCGACTATAAACATTCGCGGTTCCGTTTCTGTTCTAGATTTTCCGCTCATGACTCACTCGCCAGCTTCACTATTTCTTTTTTTTTTTTGAACGTCGGTAAGAGCCACGAATTAATTCATTGCGCGATTAAACGCGAATTCGCGTGTCCAGCAGCGACGCGCGGCACAGCGAAAAACAAAAAGCTCTCCCTTCTGAGATGGATTCGCTCTGCTGTTTGCGGTCTCGCTCCCTTCTACACGAGAGCGTGTGCGTTCCCTTTAATAAGTGGCGTTCATAGAGGACCATTTAAATGTAACCAACGACTCGATCAAAAATTTTCTCGCCAATGAAAGCTGAGACTGGTTCCCTCAGGCTGCACTTCCTGCTTAAACGGCCGACTCATTTCGTGCACGGCATAGACGGCCGGGGAATGAGAGAGATAGATAGCGAATTAAAGTACAATGAAGGCTCGTGTCTTTGTTGCTGTGTTTCTTTCTCTCTCTCTTTCCCTCATACAAATGACCATTTAAACTAGTGGACCTGCTGCTTAAATCCCGCGACCTTCGAGTTTCGCCGGCTCGACTCGGATTTCTCGTTGATGTTGCTGAGTCGGCTTTTAATTTGCACGTTAAAATGTTTGCATGTAACAAATTTATACCAGATGTTTATAATCTCGTAACTAGTTTCCACTCTATTAAGCAAATATCTTTGACACTACAAAAATTTTATATAAAAAACTAAACTATTATGTTGAAGGCTCTCTGAGGTAAACAACTTAATTAAGAAAAAGATAAGGCCTACAAGAGTCCTGGACGTTAGTGTGAATAATTAAATTATGGAAGGGTAATATTGGTATAATATAATTATGGAAGGACAATATTGCGCGTATTACTATTACACTATTACCTTCCCATAATTTAAGCATTCGCACTATTCAGCGCACAGCTCTTGTAGGCTTTATCTTTTTTTTTTAATTAGATTGTAAACCTCAGAGAGAGAGAGTCTGTCTCTTAATTATTATAAAAGCTTTCAATTTAACACAGACGAAACTAAATGGTTACTTGTTTCAACATGTGTGGTCAGTTTCGTAAAATACAGAATCAATCAGCCCATCAGATTAGCTTATTAAAAGGCAGTTAGAAATCTAACTTAAAAGCCTAGATATGAGTTTGGCTGATGTTTTAATAGCCAGGAAAGTGGTTTGAAATAAAACGTTCGACGCATGACGCATCTCAAGAGCGCGTGTGACGCTCTTGACAATCTCCATAATCCGCGACGCGTATCCTTCTTAATAAACGAATTCATCAATGTCATCGGCAAGCGCGAGGGACCAATAATGGACGTGTGACCCATCCGAGAGAAGTGTCGCTCGTTCACACTGTTCATTTGTCCCTAGATCCAGATTCACGAGCGCGAGATAACAAACACGAGGATTTTGACCAACTTATCCGCGTGAAAACGAGAAAGAGCATGGAAAACATGCGCGCGCGAAGGGGAGGAAAGAGAAAGAAAGAGAGAAAGAGAGAGAGAGAGAGAGAGATCTCAAGAGCGAGGAGGAGAGGCCAAATTAACCGGCGCGGATAAGGCTCGTGTCCTTTCTCCCTTTACCTCTTATCTGGCGCGGTGTGGTCTCTCCTCCCTCGCAATGAGAGTGCGCGTGCGTGGCGTGCATGCACGCCTCATACTCGCACACGCACTTTATCGAGAGAGAGAGAGAGAGAGAGAGAGGAGCCGCAGAACGAGTGAAGCCGACTCTGAATGACTGAGTGACACTCGGCTGACGTCTCTTCCGGTGTGTCTCGTGTTACACCGAGCCCGTTAAGCGTTTGTATTAAAGTTACGGCATCGGGCGCGTGCCACCCACCATATAATATGCGCGTATGATTTTTTGTCGCTGCCCCTGCCAGAGAAAGAGAGAGCTCTACGTGGACCACCCGTCGCTCACTTGTCCGGAATCGCGATCGTAATAATCCGCGCGCGAAAGAGGGCGCCTTCCGTATGAGCGTCCATCGCGCGAACGACGCAAATTCAATAAATTCGCAAAGCTCCAATCAGACTTGCTCCAATTTCACTTACGCAACGTCAATTGAGCCTCTCGTTCAGAGAAGTTTCGACGCGTTGTTCTCTTTGATCGCTTCTTGTGAAGAATTTGATAATCTCGCGCGGGCAAAATGTCTAGACGTCAACTTCCACGGACGGAAGCTAATATCCGGACACGCGTCTCGTAAATTCAGCCGATTACATGCCGCTCGTCTCGCGAGTATTTTATTGGTGAGTAATCCGCCGACTTCGCGCGATGAGTCTATTTCTTAATCGATGCCACGACGATGAGCAAGACGCTAACACGCGGCACGGTTACGCGAGGCGAATCTTAAGTGCATTGCGTAATTAATTCCTGGGAGTCGCAAGGAACATCCGCGAAATGTAGTCACCGTCGTCGACTACAAACCGTAAAGAACCCGAGTCGAAATTTCGACTCCACATTGATCCTGCATATTCCATCGAATTTGCAGAGTCATTGAGGAATCTCGTGCTGTCAATCTACTTTGATGCTGCAAATGGTTGTTTGCTGCCGTTTTTTCCATGTTAAAGAAACTCCGAGAAGCACTCGTTCAAAAATTATTTAATATTCGGGCTTTTGCCTGAATTTTTTTTAGTCGTTTTAATTATTTTTAAATTATTTACTATTCGACTATCTGGATATATTTTAATATAACAGCTGCGATTCGAGCGGTAAAGACCCGAGATCCCATGTTTTCGATCAAAATCCTCGTGATAACCTTTCTATTATTTCTCCCTTCCTCCTTCCCTCTGTCTGTCTTCATTCTTTAGATCTTTGGAGCAAGACTAAACACGCGGAGAAATATTGAAGCTGATTTTTCCAATGAAAGAGTGAAAGAAGTGTTAGAAGAAGTTAGAGAAATTATAGCAATATACACATAATTCCACGAGATTCTCGGGTCTGTAGTAATAATCATTACTTAAAACTTGTCTCAAATGAGATACTCAGATTTTTATTCAGAGTCAGATCCAAGTTGTTCAGTCGAATTATGATAAATGTGACATTTATATATGTAGTCGCGCGCGATTCAACTGAAAAGCTGTCATCTAACTCTAAATTGAAATATGAGTATCTCACTTGAGACGAGTTTTAAGTAATGACTATTAATACCGGCTCCGGAGTCTCCAAAGAGATATCTTTCCACAGACTGCAAACAAACTGCCATAATTACTGTCACAAATTATATGATAACTAAATATAAACGAAGCATGGTGTTTTCGCACGTTAATCTATTAACTGGCAAATATATACGCGCGATTCGCAATTGGCAAAGTGTGGCTACATTCGAACAAAATTTATTAATAGATATTTTAGATTAGGATAAGGACTAGGATAAGGAGATTTTTAATTATTTAGTAAAGATTTGTGTGAGTAAAAGAACAAGACTTATGCTGCAATTCTAAGCAGAATCGTAAGTCTCGTAACTTATTCTCATAAAATTCATTAGAACTTATGAGTAGATTTACAAGTCTATGCAATATCATATGTCGTACAATCACTTATAAATATCGTAAATTACATGAAATCGTAGATATTTACGAGTTATTGTACGACATATGATATTGCATAGACTTGTAAATCTACTCATAAGTTCTGACGAATTTTACGAGAACAAGTTACGATTCTGCTTAGAATTGCAGCGTTAATATCATTTCTTCCTTCTTTTTCTTTTCTTTTATGGAAATTTTGATGAAATTTGTAATTCTTAAAAGAGTTGACAGGAAGCTGCAAAGGCAAAAATAACAGTTATGTGTCTAATAAATGCCAATAGATATTTACATTTGGCGATTCCGTACAATAATAATAGGAATAATAACATTGACAGACATGTGAGAAAATCTGACTTGCAACACAAAAAGCATTATTAGACATAAAAATCAGCACTTATCAGATTTAAATTAGAGATTACATTGTGAGGCCGATATTCGTAGTTGCAAATTATTCATGATCTTTGGAGAGCATAATCGATTATAAATTTGTATTCATGGACTGATTATTCGACTGTTTGGTTCAAAGTGCGTTTCTTATATGAAATAATGTAAGAAGTACAGATCGACAATTAATCGGAAGTCACAATGAAGCTATAATTATATGTTGGATGAAGACAAACTAAGAATACCGGCATAAATTTCGACTCGGATATTTCTGTATTCTCTGTAAGTTTGTCAAACGCCCATTAAAAACGGAAACTATAGAATAAATAATTTGGCATACCTTGAAGATATATGATGCATCGCTGCCTTCATCCTCCACATCATGGCTCCTTGATCCAGCGTCCTGACTACTCCATAGTAGCACTGGCACTCGCGTAGACACGATTCGATAGACACGTGTTAAACAATGCGATGCCGACGGGAGATTAATTAAGAGTACGAATCAGTTTAATCATGCGAGAGAAACAATAGATAACGCGCCGATACACGTGATCCGTCGCGTGTACGCATGTCGCTCGTCGGCCCGGAAGTGAATAGAAACACCCGGAAAAGTTCGCGAGGCACAAAAGTAAACATGACACCTTAAAAGCTCCGAATGTTTTGGTTGCGTAGAGGAACAATAGATAACGCACCGACATAGTCCGTGGTATGTGTGTCAACCGCCGGCTCGGAATTGAATGGAAACACCTGGAAAAAAAATTCACGAAACACAAAGATTAAGTACAACTGCCTTGGAGTTCTCCAATGTTTTGATTGTGCGGTCGCCCGGTGTTTATTGATGATTGGCGATAGGGAGAAACGAGTTTACATTTCTTGCTGAGATTTTTCTACGCTGAGAGAAAGGAAACTGATTGACTTAACCAAAATTATAACTACTTTTGGCCCCCAAGCATATTTTTTGGTTGTTCTAATACGAAAATGGTAGCAGTAAATGCACATAAAGTTAT